GCCTTTGAAAATCTACCCCTTGTTCTCTGCAAAGCAGTGGCTTCCCATGTGGTCTGTTATATTTGCAGCTATGAGTGTTTGGTGTTTCTGTGACCTCTTTTCATTCATTATCACTGCACTTAATATCATGGCAAAAGAAGGGTAATGATTCTTTTTTTTTGTAATTGTAACTAAAATGCTACTGTGGCAGAGGGTTTGTGCTGGCCAAGGTCTTTATTATGCAACTGTATGCAGATCACTGTGAATTGCATCGTTCATCTAGTTCAGTGATGCAGCACCAAGGTCACTGGGCATTTTTAAGCTAATGATGAGACCATAAGTCTAATAAATGTGCTTGGTAATCACAGCAAACATATTGTCATTGTCCCAGATGTTATTCTTTCAAAATCACTTGGCAAACACATCTAAAACACAGCCCTTGTGTGTGCTCTGACCTCTTCTAAGAATGCACCATCAGGAACATTGAGGAGGTGAGATTGTTTAAGCAGACAAGTCGTGGCCTACAGCTACAAAATCAGTACTTCTAACAGCGCTGTTGCAGTTTACTTAAAATAAACATCCAAGAGGCTAAATGAACATGGAATCAGTGAAGGGCAAATTTTGACAGAGAGCAGATTTTGAAAAGGAGCATATCCATTAGTAATGCCAACACAGGTAGAGATCAATTTCATATTACAATGATCTAGGCAGGTTGATGTTAATTATCCAGTTTATTTTTGTAGCCATTATGCTGCAGTAACCCATTACTCGCTGATCCAGTAGCCTTTTGTTATCTGTCAGAAAATACATTAAAGAACAAATGCATCATATCACTGTGAGCTTTGCCATTATGTGCAGATGTGCAGTGATTCTCCATAAGGCTTATCAGATGTTGCAATTGCTGATTTCTTTGAAAGGATATACATCATCTCCCAGACCGGGTTACCAGATTGCTAACATTATGCCATCAAAAAGTGGCAATGCAGTGCCCAGAACTTGTTGCAGCTCCAGTGTCTTGCAACCTATCATATATATGTATATTTTTATTTTTACGTATGCATATGTGTATCATATATACGTATATTTTTGGCTTCCAGGCTTGAACAAGCCCATAACAGACTGACCACTAAATATGCTCCTGACAATAGGCGAGGAAAAGGAAATTTAAACCAGATACAATTTATTGAATTCTCGCTTCACTTATACCCATTATTGATTTGAATAAAGGTCATTAATTCAACATTACTGCAAAATGTACTTAAGACCATCCAGTGGACAGAAAATGCCAACATGCGAAGATGACTGTTTAGCAAACAGCTGAAATAAACATGGTGGCAAGAGAGGTCTAAGACAAGACACAGAGCTGTCACGTCTCATTCTCAAATGACATAAACAATGCAGTCATGAAATCATTTTCAGTGCTTTTGTATATAAACCTTCTGTGGCTTCCATGCTAAAAAATGGAAAAATATTACCCTTTGCTAACGGAGCTATTTCACCAGGAAGCATGGTATGTGCCCAATTCCATGTCTCAGCAGCTTTCAATCCTCAGTTCAGTTTACCAACAGTTAAACTATTCGAGGCCTGCATTACAACCTTTTAGAGACGACATGTGACAAGATGATTTTTGGTAAATAGTGGAAGCTTGATACTACAACTGTGGCCCTTGGCTTGCCAAGGAGAGCAGGTCTCTGGATGCAACCTGACGTTTTGTCAGCAGCTGCTGTTCAGATAACCATTTTATCATCATTGCATACTCCGACCCATGCTTGAGTCTCCTCTCACTCAGAATATATTCACTTTCATACACTCCTGCATTTTGTTGCAATAGAACAGCAAAATGTTTAGACTACAGCAGAATGCTGCAAGCTCATTTCTCAGGGTGACCTTGAGTATGTCTGGAAGACATACAGACGGTGGAAGACAGACAAACACTTTGTCTCCTATACCTCTCCTATACTGCCCATGTCCAACACTGATATCACCATTTGAAATAACAGAAAGGAACTAAATAATTGCCCATTTTTGTGTGTGAATGTGCATTCAGCATTGAACTTTCATGCGCATGCTATGAAAAACAACAAATCAAAGACAGATTAGAAAACTTCACCCTCTAAAACCATGATTTTTTTTTTTCCCCTTTTGCTTTGAAACTTAGTTTAAGTCTTGTGATATTTTTTAACTCTTCAGGGCAGGAAACATGAATTAAAAATTAGTCTGTGACCCATTACTATTTTATAATCCTCTCTTTGACAAGTTGAAAGTAACAGTTTGCCAGGTTTGTATTTAAACTTTCATGGAATGATGTGAGGGAGTGAAATATGATGGCCCAGGCAAGAGAAAATGCAGAAAAGCTGGGTAGTGTTTGGAAGGCCTGTCCAGAGAGTCAGAACGAGAGTTTATTATACATGTTTTGAACTCATCTTAGATCAAAATAACATTTATTTTTGAGGAAGTAACAGTTTGTAATAGTGACCATAATATTTTTAGATTCAGGAAGCACACAAGAATAACAAGGCCAAAGGCATCATCATAGCTGTGTTCACCTTCAGAAAGGAGAGCTAGCTAAAAATGAGGAATCTTGTTTCAAAGAAGTAGAAAACGGATGCCTAAGAGAGTTAAACCCTCTCAGGTGGCATAGAGACCCCCGAAGGACACCATACTGGGAGCACAGCACCAGCGCATATCGCTTGCTGGAAATCCCTTGGGAACAAGTAAAAGGAAATCAGCATGGCAAAACAGTAAAGCAAAGGAAGTTATTAGAATTAAGAAGTTAGCATTCAAAATGATGAAGAAGCATCTCAGTGAAGAAAAGAAAAAAGTTATAAATTCTGAGAGAATAAACATAAAACTATAATTAGACTAGCATTTGCTTTGTAAATGTTATAGCTACATTTCAAGGTGTTCATTTTCCCCATAAGTAATTTGACTTGTCTATGACATCAAAAGACAAATTGATGTCTTGATTCACTGGTTCCCCTGCCATTCATATCATGCAGATCAGGATGAAAATGAATATAAAGTGCTGCGGAATAGAGCCATTTTATACTTATTTTAGTCAGTATGAATGATAATAGGAAGTGTAGGACAAAAATGGATCTAAATGTTTCTAAACCATCTTTTCCGAACTTCAGAGAAGTGCAACTATAATGAATCTTTCCCCATTCAGACAGGAGAATACTATTAGTGTATGGTAAATCAAACTGCCTAATTTTATACCCATACCCTGGAGTCACTTGACATGTTTATCTGTGCCTCATTAGTGGCAAATTTACTCCTTGATACAGCAGGGCCAAATCTGTTGTGCTCACAAATGCTGATCTTCCAAATTCACACACTTCCCACTTATATGCAACTAGATCCTGCCTAGTTATAGCCACAATTTGCTCCAGGGTCATGCCTCCAGCTTTGCCTCTCTATGCCTATGTTCACAGCCTTGCAACAAAGAAATGGATAAACGCAGCAAATATTTTTCCATAAATGAGTTGTTATTTTTAAGGAATTGGCTAAGTACACATTACCTTTTGTTTACTTCTCATGATCCCTAGTCTGAACTAGTTCCACTGGAGTTCAGCAAAATTAATTCCAGAACAGTTTGCACATGAGTTCTTAAACCAAACAAATATGCCAGCAATGGGAAATATTTTTACCAAAGGCTCTTTCAATTCAGAAACAAAATCACAAGCTTGAGGACAAACTGATCATCTAATTTACCTCTGACCTCAAAAGGATTAGGAACACAATTCATTTTACATATTGTTGAGCAGTTTTGCCATACTAAGCTTCTGCATAAGTGCTTGCAGTATCAGGACCCTCTCTCACAAAATCATTGGTCCTCTGTCTAGAGAGAGAAATATTTTGTAGGCATTTCACCAAAGAGTTCAAAATAATGAATAAATTAGAAGATAATCAAGACCATAAAAATATACATCAAGAAGGAAGACACCCTAAAACACTAACGAAATAATCTGCTGACATTTATTTCCTTCATATTTCCCTTTATTTCACCTATTTCTTCTCCCTAGCCCTTTCTACAGCTACGTTCATTTTCTCTACCACTGCGTACTGGATTTTTCTCTTGTTATGATTGCATACGCATCTCCATTTCCTCTTGATAGGTTGATACTTCTAACATATTTTGAAACATAGTCTTGTGCATTCTGTGCTTCATTGCTATTATAAAAATGTTAGGTTCCTGTGAAACTAAACACAGCAAATAGATTTGGGGGGGGGCAGATAAAATTGTGGAGATTTGTATTTTCCTTGCTCAAATACAGTTCTGCCTTTCAGGAGACATTTTTAGGAGTTGCCTTTGCTTTGTGTGGTGCTTTTCTGCAGTGATAGCAGGCGGTGGGTTAGTGGCAATTTTAAAATATAACATTACTGTACATTATAAAGAGTAAAATAGTGTTTTGGACAGTAACACCTCTTTAAAAAAGGCAAAAACATGATGACATTCCTAGTTTCCTCCCCCTGTTGTAGCAACCTGTTCTGGGACAATTCTTCAACATCACAAAGCAGGGCCACTCATTCTTCTGTTAAAAAAACCCAAACCCACACACACAAATTCTGGATATTAATTAGTAATCATATAAAATGGGAAGCTGTTCTTTTTGAAACAAATAAATTTATATTTGCACTTGATTTACTAGGTCTATTAAATATTTACATTATTGTTTTCCAGTTACTCTCTAGTATATGTATTACATGTTAAACACTCAGAACAGATTTTTTTTTAAAATTATAATTTATTTCATATTTTTTCACTTTTACTACCTTCTCAATACAGATGTTTTTCTTTAAGTTGTAAGACTTTCAAAAGATCATTATTGCAGTCATCTACCTGTTAGCTTGATTTTTTTATTTCATTATCAGCCATCAGGCAAATAAAAGGTAAGTCATATAATCTAATTTTGTTAATGGAACCTAATGCAACTCGAGGCAATCTAAAAACAAGTAAATAACCCCTTGCCCCTCCAACAACCATAAACAGACTGCAATAAGGCTGCCAGAAATACAACTCAGAAAACTGTTAGAAGTGCAAAAAGTCCATAAAGTAAAGCACACGGGTACGCAATAAGAAGCTGCTGTCCTTCCATAGCCAACGCAGAGGTAAAAATTTTGGAGGCTGACAAACTGCACCACCCAATAATAAAGACAGCTAACAAAGTTCCCAGGATCCCCCTAGGAGAAAAAACAAAAGAAACATGACAGAGTCCACTTGTTAGCAAATGTAGCATCAAATCTTACCAAACTCGACTTCACGTCTAGCAGCTTGTTATTCATAAGGTAACAGTCACTGGAAGAACCAAGAACTGACTGACATAACACAAGTCAGGCCTGAGAAACAAATTAAAATAGTAATAGGAAACAAAAAGGTAATTTCTTCAGCACAGATAAAAGCAGCAGCTTCATCAAAAGTACCACTAAAAGGACAATGCATTGCCAAAGAAATCTTCTGGGGCTCCAGCAGATGCAGCAGCTGAAATTTAAAGTTAGCAAGGATCCTGTTGCAGCCAAAATCACCTTGTGGAAGTTGTTAGGATATAAAATGACACTACAGACCTACTCTTCCTTCAGGCAGCCTGACGACCTGGAGGGGTTGCATTTTTGTCACAGACGGCACAGGTTTTAAGTGTGCCTTGGACTCTGAGGAGAGGCAACTAGGCTCTTAAAGAATCACACCTCAGCTGGCCGGGCAGAAAGGCTGCGACTGCACCCCTGGAGAAGGTTCACCTGGCCTTTTAAAAAAGAGTGTACGTTGAGTGGAAAGTAAGGGGTGGGAAAAGAACCACTGAGGAAAAATATTTTGCTCGTCCTGGCATCCTTCTCTGCACCCTGAAAGGACGATGGCTTTCCACACTGGCCCTTGGTGTCAGCTGGGCCCTTCTGAAGTTACATTCTGCCACCTCTCAGGTGCAGGTGCCCTGGAGAACTGATAATTATGAGACGACAGTCAAAAGCCCACTGAAATATTCTTGCAGATTATAGAGAGCTCACTATTAAACCCTGTAGGAACAAAATCTTGCCAATAAATAATGTTTCACATATGCTTTATTTGCACTCTGTATTTGCAGCCTGCTTCTGTAAAATGCATGAGATCATGCGCATAATACGCTGCTGAAGTACATAATGAGATCGGCTGCGTTACACACTTCTGCTGTGTCAGTCTCAAGGACTTTGAGAATGAACGAACCTCCGCCTCTTGCTAAAGGACTTCCCGGTGCCCCACTCTTCCAAAGTATCAGCAAAACGGAACCAGAATTGAGAAATGGACTACGTATACTTACTTAGGTCCATTTATCAGAAATAATCTCCACTAATATTATTATTGCAATTACACCACAATGAGTAAAGCTCTCCTTATTTAATTGACTTAGTTTACTTAATGCAATCATATCACATAAAACAGTTCATTTCTTGGCAATCCAGTCTCAGGGACAATAAGATGTTTGGTTTGTCAGGTCTTGGGACTTGGGGGGATGAAGGAGAGATTTGATTGTAAGGTGACTCAGCACCTTATTGCAACTTCGATCCGTTAAAAGTAAAACATTAAAGACCATGTGATTTAATACTCTCAGTTTAAGTGTTCTTTAAACCTATACAGCGACATTCAGGGAAATTACACTGGGCTCTGTGAACCAAGTTCCTGGCCTCTGCTCCAAGTGGAGATGCTAGGATGCTCACCTAAACAGTTATCCAGAAATTCAGAGCTGGTATGGATGGCTCTTTGAGCAGGTACCCATGCTGGCAAACAGATGGGCTGTAACAGGAACATACCGTGCTGTGACAATTTTCAGCTGGTATAATGACTCTTTAGGTAATACAATTTAGACCTGTGGCTGCTCTGCCTTGCACTGAAGCCCAATGGCTGCTCACGGTTTGTTGCAGGACTGGCAGTGAGGAGGACAGAAAGGTGACATAAAATCAGATACCTCTGTGTACTTTTAAATTCAGTCCTTGATCTAGCAGTGTGTTAGAGCCAAAAGGGGTGGTTTGGCTTTAGCAGAGAACTTGCTGTCCGGCATGTCCACGAGGGCCAAATCCTCAAGCATGGGAGAGGGGCAAAAGGCAGATGTCACGCTCACAGTGATCAAGAGGACTGGGGTTGTACTGGCATGAGATTGAGCTGGGGGGACAGACATGAGTGGACCCTCTTCACCCCTCTCTCACAACCTGCAGATGTGCTCACCAAATGGGTCCTTTGCATGACTGGGCCTAAGAATTTCGTTCGCCACTCTTACCCTCATTTCCTGCACTGTTTAGTTAAGGAAATGTCTTGACCACTCTGTTCAGGGATTTGATACTAAAGAACTGTTGTTTTTTCCAGGAAAAAAGTCTGATGATGTTTCTCCCAGAAAGATGGCCTAATCAACTTGGGCTCAGACATGGTATCAGCATTGATGGGCACAAACAAATCCGGTTCCACACAAGTTTGCATAAGAGAACTGGTTTTCTCTCTGGTGCTATTCAGCACGCAAAATGTTCCATATTTTCCTTTATTCAGTTACAGTGAAATAGCTAATCATGAAAACTGAAAATTGTTAGATTGGTATGTATGTTTGCAATGGATGTGTGCATTATCTTACATATATTTTCTATGAAACCAAACATTGAAGTTAGTTCTTGACACTTTAAAATAGACAGAAATAACATTTTTACAAATATTTAAAAAATCATGAATGTATTGCTGTCTTTCCTTTGCCATTTTAAATAAGTTTTTAAATTAAAAATAATGAAATGTATATTGGATTTAAAAGTTGCCACTTAATTTCAATAGCATGTTTGTAATACTTAACCTTGGTACTTGCTGTGTTCAAGCAGTTTCATATAGTGAATGAGAAAGGACTGCAGAATCCTGTAGGTAGGCACTTAATGTTATCAATTCATTCCAGAAATAATGGCTTAATCTTGTAAAGGTTATCACAGTATAGTATTTATAGATTTTCAAGAGATGTGCTTTCTGTAAATTCACAGCATTTTACAAATGTGCGGTATGTGCTTGGGGATTCCTTGTACAGAAACAGTACCCTGCGCAGTTGTAACAGCTGGTTTGGAGTTCACCCCATCTGTCCCACGATTATGTATCTGCATCTTTTTTTAGGGTGGATTATTAAACAGGTTAATCAAGAAAATATGGGAAGTATAGGAGAACAGAGAATAAACTGCTTCTTCAGTGTCACTACTCTTCATCTCATCCAGGACAGCTCAGAAACACTTTAATAGACGGAATATGGTCAGGTTAACCCATCATAGCTCCACAGAAACATGCAACAAGGAATGTGCCAAAATCTTCATCCCACTACATAATCGCCTTTAAAAATAATATACACATATATACAATTGCTGCTTTTCCAAAGAAAACAAACTGGGGCACTTTCTTATTCATCAGCTGCCAAGTCCCATACATTACAGATTGGAGCATTAAAAATGTGAGTGAACAACAAAGACTAAGCAGGGGAACCATTATTAATAACATGTTAACAACAGATAAAAGTACTGCTCAAGGCCTTCAGACAAGTCCTGGAGCTTCCTTGTACTTTGCTGTATGTGAACAGGGAGGTAAACACAGTCTGTATCTCAAAAGGCTTATGGAATGAGGAGGAAGGAGAGGATTGCATACAAATTTCCTATTAATAGGCATATTACTGAACACCCACACAGACATGCACAGATACATATGTCACCACACATTTGGTTTTTCAACGTTTTCAGTTATTTTCAGGTTTGCAATTACACCGCAACTATACCTCAGAGCATACAACTCTACTACATCTTAAACACTGGTTCTAATGCTCCAAATTAGTAAGGTTGCTTGATTATTTCATTCTGTCACACACAGTCAGTCTACAGAAGGAAAGGAAGCATAAGAATGGGAGCTTGATACTACGAACAAAAAGGAACAGGAGAACCAGCTATATAAAACCAAAGTCCAGCAGTCACTTTTAAAATTGATATCTGAGTTTGGCCACTGTTGGCTCTGCAAAAAGAAAAATCACATCCGAGACTGCTGCAAAAATCAAAGGCACTCTCAGTCCAAGTGGGAAACAGTAGAATTAAGGACTCAAATTAAAATGAATATATATCACCCCTCTGAAACACAGTTCAGTTTTGTCCATTTCCACCTACACACACACACCAAACGGTGTTTTTCTTCATAGTTTCGGAAGACAAAATACACTACCTAACCATTTACAAAATGTTTTGCGTAACACCAGCCTTCTGACTTACTGTCCTCCATATGATTCCCGTTGCCATAGACTGGTACTTACTGTAGTGAGAAGACAACTGCAGAAGAGGACAGGATCACCATGGGCAGCAGGCAGTAGCCCAAGACACTTGCAACGCAGCCATGCGAGACTCCTGGGACGCTCATCAGGTTCAGTAGGGCATGCATAGCAAGGCACCCAATGGCACTCATGCCATATACATAGCCAAAATGAACTTTTCCTGCCTGGAATAAATATGAGTAAGCATGAAGTGTTAGAAAGTGAGCAAGTGATTGCAAAGTGGTGGGAGAAGACAGAAGGCAAGCGCTAGGTTTGTTACTTCTTCTTGTTGACACTCTCTCTCCGCTTCGCCTACATCAGTTCAATTGTAAACCACAGCTGATGCTTTTGGGTGATTTTTGCATCAAAAAATTTCAAGGTGCAATTGTGAGAATGTGCTTGTTGCTAACTTAAAGTTATATGGCTGATTCTCAGTTTTACTGTTGTTGGGCTCTGAACAAGACAGGAATTGGTTGGGGAGACTTGGGAAGGTCCAACTGGTAACAGAGAAGAAATTATGGAAAGCACATTTTAGTGTCAGAAAATGTCTCTCCAATAGGTGTATATGGGGCTGTGGAAAAATGTCCAAAGTATAATGATGACCTACCTTACTTGATAGGCTTCACATTTTATTACAAACCTCCATCTGCAAGCAGGTCTGCAAAAAACTAGTAAAACTTTGCTGAAAGTATGCTGGTTTTCAGGGTGAATGTGTTTATTCTTCCGCTTGACTACCACGAGAAAGACACATTTCTGTGGTTAGATCAATACAACACATTCATTTCAACATAAACCTGAGCAGTAACTGTCAGCTTGTGTTCTTTTTTTGTTCCAATGAATGGAAAAACAAAACAGGTGTTTTTTTCTTCCAGGTTTTATTCCTTTGTGTGAATTTAGTGCCTGTGAAAGGTACCAACCTGACAGCCTGGAGCCTGATGTTTTCTAATTTATACAGAAAGCTAGTACAACAGGCAACAGTGGCCACAGCACCACTGATTTCTTCATCTCCTGCCATCATTTTGAAGGATCACCTCCGGGCATGAGGGCATTGTTCACTCCAAAAAATGAATACTCACAAAAGACTGTTAAATATTTTTTTCACTCTCTTTAAGCTTCTAACAAATGAAATACTGAATGTCAGCAAAGTAATACTGTCATTTTCACATCTGTACATCAGAAATAAACAGTGATTGGGATGACAATGGTTTTGTTTGCTTTGTCTTGGAACTTTGTATCCTAGCGATAACATGCATTTGTGGAGGAGAAAGCTCAAACCTGAGACTCAAGTCTTAACTCAGGACCATGGAACAAACTTCTCAAATGAAGGGCCACAATGCGTCACCTTCCTGACACATAACAATATGTATATACATACTTAAAACACAGGTGTGTTTGTGCATGCACACATTATATACTACATATGATAAACCACGTCAGAATCAAAACTAATAGAAGGTCTGTTTCCTAATAATTTTGTAGCTTATGGTTGGATTCTCTTGTGATAGATAAGGTGGAAATATTATTGAAGGTTTTTTCATGGTTTGCAATATTTACAAGTATATCTTCCATGATGGTTAAGGAGGATTGAGGAGACGTCCTACTCTACTTATTCATACATTCTAATAAAATACGGGGGAAACCAACTTTGAGGACCCTTCTTCTCTGCCCGTTCTTCCTGTATCCACTTGGGTGGAAACTGATCACTGGATGCCAGCAGTATTTGAGCTGGACAGATATAAACTAACAACAGTTGAGAGAGCCTAACCTAGTGATGACACAACCTGAAAGTCCTAATGTTGGACACCTAATGCAGGTTGGTGACAGCTCACCAGCCCCAGCTGGAGAGCAGTGCATGTTTATGTGGAAGGCAGCCTCAGCTAATAAGACCTGTCTCTACATCAGCATCGTTACCCTGTTTTCAGCTTGACCTGGCTCACTGCTGAGCTCTCCTCTAGTTCCAGTCCTCAAGGTTAGGTCAGGCACAGCCAGGTTGCCTATATGATCGCAATGTCCCCAGTGTTGGCCTTTACCCCACCACTGCATTCCACCATAAAGGAATAACCTAGTTCTGAACTACCAGCCTTAGAGATCTCCCTGTTTAGGTACAGGGTCCTTTGCTGGCATTTGCATACTACTGGTATAAAATAGTTGGGAAAACTTACTTCGCCAAATAAAATTAATGGTAGTTAGAGACAGTGTGGGAGAGAAATACTAGCTCAGAGTACTATCAATTACAATTTCAGTCATTAAAGATTTGTAGCAAGTTTAATATCTACAATGCTTTGTGGTAGCCTTTATTATAGACCAACTAAGAAAAGCTCTGTCTCAACAGCAACTGCAAGCTAGATGCAACAACAACTACAAGCTAATATTTTAGACTGTTTGTTTCAGTGTATTTAATTATTCTACACACCACAATTTAGCAGCTTAGTTTAAGATCAAGAAATTACTGAGACAGAGATGAAGGGAGCACTAGCACTAGCAGCTAACTGAAATCTCCACTTGGTGAACTGTTTGATTTGTGGTGCAGGGGAATGAGAGAGGAAAAAAAAAGCAGCTGAACATGTTGGTTCCAATTCTAGTCTTTCTTAACATATGTAAATATGTTGACTCACACACGCAGGAATACTCCCAATTCACAGTGATGTAAGCAAAACCAGAATCAGGCTTGATTAGTCTGGCAGGCTTTGATGAATGGAAAGAGCTAAATTTGTCCTGCGGAAGGAACAAGGTTAGCAGAAAGTCAGACTTCGTGAGCTTGTTTGCATCTGCCTAGAGTGGGTACTACTATCCTTAGTTTAAGTGGATGGGGAAGTCTGATTTTGTATAAACGACTATGTAAAATGCAAAGCAGCTGAGATTCAGGATTCTGCTAACTTCCATGCTGCTGTTTTTTCTCTACCTGCAATGGAGCTGCCCTGTTTTATGCCAGTGTGAGGAAGATCATATCCTGCTGCCAGCCTAACAACCCTTTCCTCTTTTTCTCTGTGCTCTGAAAGAACTGCTTCCATTTGAAGAATATCTTTGCATATTTTTCCATAGTTAAAAAGCTGAAACTAAATAAAATTTATAAATTATTTTTGGAAACAAGCTCTCAACCAAATTATGTTCCTGGTGTTATTAGAAGAGAATTATTCAAGTACAGAAGGATATCATAGCTTACACAGCTGAAGAGCCACTTTAGTATTCAAATGCAGCCGAGATAAAACGAGCGGCCTGAATTTATAAGATGGCCCATGGAAATCCCATAGACTTATTGCTGTGAAGTTGTGGCACAAAACCACTAGATTGTATCAGAGTTCTGCTGGCCTCGAACTGGAGTATTGAAAATAGTTGTTTTTCAAATGACACTTAAAATGCTTCATATCCCAGAATAAATATGGTAATTAAAGTACTTTATTTCAATAACAGTAGTTTAATATTCATTATAATTGTTGGCTATTCAGGGAGAAAAATCAACAGCAACCATTTTTCTCCCATTCTCTCTTTCTTTTAGCTTTCTTTCCATTTTCCTGATTATAATTAATTCAACACTTTCTCCTTTTATCCCCTCACACCTTTATTTCTCTCGGTGGAAAACAGACTGTCTTCTCTAGCTTCCCACCTTCTTTTCCTTTTATTCCCTTTCCTCCTGCCTCTTCCACCCTTTTAAAAGATTTTTATTTTTATAGGGACATAAATAATAATAATACTTGCCATTTATATTGCAGTTTGCACATTCAAGGTACTGCACTGACATTACAAATTGAGTAAGAACTTGCAAGAGTCTTCTGATTCAGCACTATTTATCACAGGGGAAATGGAGAATTAGGCCCCATTTCTCTCACCTCAGTTGCAGAGCCGTAAAGCCCTTCCCAGATTGGTCCCACCTTATCCCTGCCTGATGAATTGCTGCCGACAATCAGAGCTGTACTTCAGCAGCACTGGAGAGCCCCTGTTGTCAGTGATAAATAGATGAATTTGGAGTACTGTACAATCCCTGTTCAACTTTCCTCCTGTAGGAAAGCTATATTCATAAAGAGGAAAGAGGTTAAACACAGGCTACCATATTTTATTTAGCAGATGATGTAGAAAAGGAATATAAACTAAGAAAGGACTAGCAAAATTTACAGGAAAGTATTGCAAATTTCAGGTGCAAAGGAAAAGGCTGTTCCCATTTCTTTTTTCAAATTATTGTAGTTACATAAAGATTATTTTTTTGATCTCTCTGCACTCCCCAAAATGACATTGAGAGAAGATAATTTCAAAACAGCAGCAAGAGTTAGAAAAACTGGGCTAGTCCGCTATGCCTTTTTATTGCCTCCTTTAAAACCTTCGTGTTAGGTCCTTACCTAGCGCACACTGCTATGTTTCAGCTGTTCAGAGCCTCCCCAGGATATACGCTGCACAGATCTGTCCTTTGTTCATATTAAATCTCATCCCCAAAAATGGTGTGGTCTTGTCTTTCCACTGGAAGTAATATATCACCTCACCTGTATTACATCTACATTACACTTAAACTTAATGCAGGTACTTTCAAAGCAAGGAGACTTTTTAATATATAATCTTAGAACAGACGGCAGCAGATGACTCATTTTATGCCAGTACTACATCTTCTGCAACTTCACATGCATTATCACCTAGGCATTAGCTTGTTAGAAAAGAAATCCCTTAAGATTTCTACCACATCCTACCAGCAGCAACGTTGCTCCAAGGGCCAAGCAGAAAACCATAGGTCCGGTGAGATCTGTCTCATTCATAATACTGCCGTCTGCAGGCTTCATTGGATTTAGAACTGTTAATGTTTTTTGCCATATATGCTCAAAATTGATCCCAAGTTCTGCAAGGAGAAATTCCAGGATTGTTAATTGCTTACAAGAAAACAACACTTTTACATAAACCCCTTAGATATCACAAAACCCCAAACAAGCAAACAAATTAATGACTTTAATGAAGATAATATTGTAGGATGATGTATTCTGTAGTAGGGACATGATGTCCCTTCTATATACCCAGTATATTTGAGAGTCAGCTCTGATTCTAAATTGGAATCTTAATTTATTAAATCCTATTCAAGGCAGTGAACCAAAAAATGCCCTCAGCATTTTTGAGTTAATATTTGTTTTTCCTATATTTAAAAGATATATCTAATGCCACACTAACTTAGATGTTGAAAAATATGCTAATTAACAGTAACTGCAGAATTCAACATACTCTAGAACACCGAGGACAGAGACACATGCTTTAATTCTGGCAAATCTGACAAGAGATGTGTCTTAAGCCTGAACTGCCAGAGGCACTTAAAAATGACATTTGTCCCTTCAAGGCAATATAATAATATTTTGTACAGTGCTTTATAAGCTTTTTTTGCATTTAAAAAGTCTTTACTGAGGACCCCTAGAAATGGAATAAAGTTCTTCCCCATTAAAGTTGATGGGAATTCTGCCATTAATTTACTGGGGCAAAGATTTCTCTTATAACTTCTGCAGAAACACTTCAGCTTGCAAGAGTAATCATCTTCCCTGAGATCCTCCAGTAAGGGAAAGGTTAGGTTCAGAACTGAGTGCCAGAACTACTGAGACTGACAATGTCCTAGATCTATTTGGAAAGCCAAGTCTTTACCTTATTCCACCGATCCATCACTCCAAGCTGAGCCAAAACATTATATAAATAAAGTTATTCTGTATTAAAATGTGTGGTTTTGGTCAGATTTACGTGGTACACAGACAGGAACATCTCTGAAGCCCTGTGGATGAGCAGCAGTCGTATTTCAACATCCTTTTCACAGGGTGAGCTGCATGTGGAGTTAAATGCTTGTAGGTCTAAGAGGCAGAGATCTAGCAGTTACCTATATCAAACAGAGTGATCTTGCTGGTTTTAAGGCAGTAGTAGTACCTTTTAAGTAGTAAAAACTCCACTTGCCTTCCAGTATGCAAAAGCAGGCTGAATATGCTCTTTTTACATTAGGCTGAAATAATCACAAACAAATTATCCAATTTTTTTTAAATGTAGCACAAGTATTTTGTAAACTACAAAATCACCCACTAGAATTAGGATGGTTCAATCATCACAAAGAATAATATTGTTCGTGTAATTAAATGATCAACTAATTGAAGCTGAAATTAGATTTCTCAATTTCTTTCCCACTGAAACAAGCTATTTAGCATCTTCAAACTATTAAATTTATTACTAGATATGCAAAATGGATTATTATCAGTGTTTATTAATTAGAGAAGTTCCAATATGTATGTAGGATAAACACAGAGTAGAAAAAATTATTTGGCAATGTGAATGCAAAACTTATTGTTATGCTGTCATCTAGTGGTAGCGAAGTATATGCTATATATACCATAATGCTGAATGAATCCATGGCGAATTCAAATAAGAAAATGTAGGTTTGGGGGGCAGGGGCTGTTGGCTGAAGCTCACACCGCCAGGCTTGGCAGCTCTGCTGGACTTTCTCCAGTGACTGTCACTAGCTGGCAAAGAAAAGTACAGGTACCCCCAGGAACCACCCACGTTGTCCGTGGTTTTATGTTTACCTTCTAGCAAAGGAGGTTCCTCGTCAAATCCATCAGTGTAACTAAGATGAGAGAGAGTGTCGGGACTGTATGTTGGCTGCAAAATCTGCCCCGTGTATCTCTGAGAAGACAGAAACATTTCTGATGGGGCAAAAGCACCAGGTGGAGGTTGCTCTCCTGGCTGGCTCCTAGGACAAGAAGCAAATCACAGCAAAACAAGTTAACTGCAATGAGCAACTTCACAACAGCTTAGAGCTGCTCACCATGTACCACAGTTTAAATTTTTGTCTATTTTCAATTTGGGGAACCTGGAAATTTTCTGGGCACAGTATCTGCTGTGTGCAGTGAATGGTGAGCCGCTGACCATGGCTTTGCTTCTCTTCACTGCAACTCCCCCTGAAACCAGGCAGGGTTCCTTGCTGGCCTGCCAGCACGTTGCAGCCCCTCGCACCCACTTCTGTGCCCTTCCAGCTCAGGCAATGGCACAGAGCAGGCTCCCAGCCTGGGGGTGGGGGGAAAGGGAATTTAGGAGCTGTGAGGGCACCCACAAATTTAGTCACTCTTTACTTTTCCACCAAGCAGCCTGGTGACATTCCTCAGATATGTCCATACTGCTAATGAAAGAGCCATATATTAAGATTTTTTTTTCTTGAATCTAAGAAGGAGCTTAAACAATTTCTAGCAATATGTGCCCTAAAATCCACATTAATAACATGAAGCTCAGTCACTCCAATTAGATAAATAACCTGTAACATCTGTATGTATAAAAGTAGCTCAAAACACAATCCTTTATAAAGAAAGGTTCAAGTATAAATAATTCTGCCCTGAGGAAAGTCTAGATGATCTCTTGAAGCTCCTTCCTGCTCCTGCAAGCCCGAAAGCCACATGGATCCCTCAGCTGCTGAACAGGGAAGCTGTAGCAACACCAGCCTCCAACTGCAGTCGTGTAAAGATCTCCTTAAGGGGGAAACTCTCAGAACTTCTCCCCCTCAGTGTCCCTCTTCCATGGGCAGAAGTCACCAACAGGTTTAAAAACATGAGAAAAAAAATGAAATAAGAAGATTCTTCCTGTCTTTCTACTGCTATAACTTGTACTTCTCCACTAAAACTTCCACTGTATTGATTATGCAATCCTTTTTTGGCAATTGCATAATTGCATGCTGTTTTTTGTCATTAATTTAATTTGAGCTTTGAGATACAGCACCTTTTTTTTTTTAATAGCATACTTACTTTCTGCTTCCACAGAGGTTTTCGTTAGACCCATAGCTGTTGTAACCTTCTTCCTGGTCATCTATGGTATAATTGGACTGGTAAAAGTTGAAGTGAAACCGCTCAAAATTTGACATTCTGGTTGGAAAAGTGATTGTAAATATCAATAAAATAGATTTTGCAACAAGTCAATATCTATGTTTTGAACTGTCCTAAACTTAAATGAAAATAGTAAATATTAAAGCCACAAACTCAAGAGAAGCTTTCTGTAGAAACTCATGATAATTTGCAAGTGACAAAAAAGGACTCTTTCTTTTGTTGTAAGAAGAGAAATTAATCTTCTGCTACTGTTAATTACTGTATATTAATTTACAAGTGGTATGCAAGACTTCCTCTCTTGTTGCTGTTACCAAAAGTAACACAAGTAATTTTGAAAGAAGATACACATCAAGTAAACTATTGTTTTAAACAGTTCATTTTCCTACTTTAAAAAAAAAAAGTGTCCACGTCTGAATGCTTAGAAATTAATGTTTTTAAGAAGTATTTTGGGTTTCAAAACCAATTACTATTTTCAGCTGCTTATGTTTTGCAGTATTATATACGACTATCATAAAACAACAGAAAAACACAAATATATTCACAGCATTTGTGATTTCTGTTTAAGGACACTGTAGCTGGCATATTAGGAGTACCAGCAAAACATTCTTACTGGTTAGCTACATGCCTTTGAAAAGGACAGCAATACTGAATGATTGAATAGTAAAGAAAACATGTTAAAACGCATCTTTTCAAAACTGACCCCATAGTTCAGCTCTGTAGCTACGGACTGATTAGACTAAGAAAGGAACAACTTGTCTATTTTTCCTTCTACATTGTGACTAACTGTTTTTATAACTATTTGAATTTTGCATATACTGGGCCCATTTCACATTTCCTGTGTGTAGGCAGGACTGGTTGTCTGGATCACATATAAGCAACGTAAGAAATGAAGCACATTGTTTCCATAACAGATCATGTACCTTTTGGCATTAAAAGAGTGTTTCAAATTGCAAAGATATTTTATTAATTCTTAGATTTGGTCTAGGTGCTTCTTATGTTATTAGCATGGCTGACTATAAATCCACAAAACAGCTTCAAAATTGGCAGGTCTACCTTCCATGCCTTGAGTAAGAGTATCCATAAGATGAAGGACCAACCCTGTTCTGCCTTAGTGTAACCTTTACGCCAAGCCACGGGCGGCAAAGACACAAGACCTGCTGGGAGCAGTGCAGGGGTTCAGAGAGTCCCCCAGCCACCGAGGGACTGAGGCTGGAGGGTGCCCCTGGGGATCGCCTGGTCCAGGGTAACCGACAGCGGGCTGCTCAGCGCCGTGTCCTGTCGAGTTTTTAAAAGTCTGACTTCATCATCTTTACTCCCTCCCTTCAGGTGGTTATATTCATTGAAGAGATCCCCCCAAGACCTCTTTCCTCCCAGCTAATCAGTGATTCAGGGAATGGTCTGAGCAGGATTTGCCTGTAAATGCATAGGTGTATGCATGTGTTTCTCCACTTGGCTGGTATTTATGTAGTTAAACTCTTAAAACACATAGAGAAGTTCTATAACCTGAGTGATAACCATAGCCATATCCAATTTACTTAGATTTTCATGTGAGATATTAATCGTTCCTAACATTTCCCATTTTCTTCACCTTTGCCCTCTTTTCTATCTTTCCAAATGCCATTGGCAAAATACGCTTTTAACCTCATGGTTACTCTCACAGTTATCTCTGTATTTATCAAGCACATGCTGCTTATGGGAAAGATCTTTGCAAATTTCTTTGCAAGGTAAAAGTTATAAAGGTTAGTTATAACATTCTAAAGATGCAGGGACCTTGAAATGCTGCGTATTAAAGTTCTAAAACTTTTTCCCATAATCAGACTAATCTGTGGGGACCCAGTTCCTTCACTTACCTAAAGCATTCAAAGTAGAAGTTATATTATTTTCTTAACTGTTGACTGCAGGATTTCCAAATTTAGAAGAGAAATAATTTCTCCATTGTAAATATGAACTAATAGAAATTAATTGTACTAAGCTATTTACTGTCATTTTATTTGGAATTGCACACCAGTTATGCATTTATTCAATAAAGATTTTGCATGGAATATGTTTCAAAAAACTTTAGTTGGTACCTCTACCCCAATAGTTCAATTCTACTAAGTCTTTAATGTTCTTAGCTGTCATTATAAGGAATGAAATAATTACTTAACCGGGTATGCTACAATCTGTATAACAGAGTTTAGAAAAGATAAATTTATTTTCCAAAAGAATTTGGAGTTAAGGTTACTTACTTTTTAAGATATTTGATGAAAACTCCAGTCTGTTGAATTTACATGTTGGAGAACACCTAAAATATCCTCTTACTTCAACAGGGATGAGCTTAGTGCTATTTATAAGATTCTAAATTTGATCTTCGAACAGATGCCTATGAAGGCACCTTCACAACCTGTCAATATCACAGCCAGCATTTAACATGAGTTAACAACAATAAGCAGAAAAGGATAGGAATCTTCAAGGAAAGTAGAACAAAATGAACAAATCCTGTTCTATATATTTCAACTCAATAATCTAGATTGCTGTTTAGAGCTTCCTTCTTAAGTAGGTATTTATGAAGATCTTGGTGGAGCCCTCATGAGCTGAGCTGTTAGATATTAAAAAGTTTTAACAATGTGTAATAATACCTGTTAAATTAGTAGGGTAAATACATTTACTTGGGGCTACGCTTCCAGCAGATGCTCCCGCAGCATGCGCTATGGGACATAGGTGGCCTTAAAGCCGTTCCTCGTGGCTGGTAGAGGGAGCTTTCGATGGTGGAGAATGCGATGCTCCCTAGGACTGCAACAGCAAAGGGAGGGAAGGTGAAGGCACTGTGGGGCCAGGTCCAGCCGCTGGCCCAAGGCCAGGGCCCCATTCTCCAGGTGCATCCCTCTGCCTCATTGCTTCTTCAGGAGCTCTCATCCATTTGCAAAGTGCAGTACCCACCATGCCAGGATCAGGGCAAGTCTCTACTTAAAAGACAGGGAACCTTGCTCTGCTCTTTGAGGGCCTGATTGAATGTGTAGGTATCAGATTCATGGTTAATTTTTTCATGCAATACTCAGCGTGATAACCCTTTTGTTACCTGACTCATTATGAATAAAACATTAGGAATCCCTGTTCTATAGTCCTGGCTGCTAGAAAATTTGTAGCACAGTATGGATTTTGAAATAGCATTTAAACTTCAAAGACAGCTTCTCTATTTACTCATGCTTTAGTATCAGATAGTTAACCAGTCATAACAGGTGCTGCCTTTTTCACTTGTTTATTGGATAGCGTCCTAATGAGTACTTGGGCTGGTTAAGGAATGGGGCATTAAATGGGATGTATTATCAGGCCATTAATTTATGCCTCAGGTGCATATTATGTGAATGTGCAAATCTGTGAAGTTGAAGGCCAAATGACTTCCATTTTATTGGGAGAATAGTCATGCACTGTTAGTACATGACCTACAATGTTATGAAATAATTATAATACAGGTGCATTTTTAAATAAGAAAAAATGAAGTATACCAAGATTTCACTCAGTATATATGTCCAAGAAAGAGCCCAGAAATGAAGGATGGTGAGAAGTAGAAAAATATAACCTTTGTTTCTCCTAATTAAGGGTAATATAACTATGGTGTTTATTACAGCTATTGTTAAGCCTCCCTCATGTTCTTAAAATTCTCTCCTGCCATTTCCAGAGCAACAGTTCATGCTGCTACACCCACCAAGGTGAATTTTCAGTTTCAATTCTTAGTAAACTGCTAATGTATATAATGTCTAGTCATCTCAGTTTAGATAATATGGTTTGATCTTGTTTATACCAAATCAGTGGGGGGAATGATATAGGATTAACTTCTGTTCTTCAGGAAGGTAAGTAAAAAAAAATTTTAGGAATAGAAAAATCTTAATTTACTAGAGTTATGCCTGTTTATTTTAATTACAAAAATGACTTATTTATTTTTGCTATTTTCTGTTAGAAAAAGTTTTATGTATATACATATATATAAACACACACTGCATACAAATACATATATACATATATGCATACTGGCTGCCAGATAAGAATTGGGAATAATTATCAGACAAGGCACTTCACAGAAGGAATTTAAATAGAAAAAAATTCAATGACTAGTAGAGAGGAATGGTTGAAGATATTTTAATAGCTGTTTAACATATCACAGTTAGAAGAGAAAGCCACCTGAAAATAAAAAAAAAACAAACGCAAAAACATATATATATTTATCTCCATATATAAAATTAAAATATACCTTATTATACATATTATACATGTATACTACATTAATATCCCTGTGTATATAGGCATATAAATGGACATCTAAAATACAAAAATGGAAAATAATACTAGTTAGAAGTGATGATGCAGACAATTGATTAAAAAATACAAAGAAGATTAAGCAGTTGATAGGAAAGTGACCAATAGAAACAATGACTTATCAAGTATATTAGAAGCAGACAGAATCATACCAGTACTGCCATTCTCCTATCAGATGCAAAAGTATAGGGATCAATAAAACAAAAAGATTGAAATATTTCATTAGAAATGCTCAAAACAACATTTTAAAATTCTGCATCTAAAAGTTTTAGAAGAACTGGTCAGAAACTTTCTACATTGCTGAGTTGTGAAACAACAGGAAAGTTTGAGAAGATCAAAAATAAGTAAATACGCCATTTTGTAAAAGGCTAAATGAGATGCCGTGAGTAATTATTGACTCGTCGCCATGAGATTAATCCTAGCAAATTAAGGGCTCAAATAATAAATAACTGAATCGATGAACCCAATCAACATGGGCTTTTGGAATCTAGGTCATTTCAAACTAATTTATTTTCTAACAAGATTTGTAGTTGGGAAAGGTAACCACTGATGACCTATATTTACACAAGGCATTTTACTTAATTTTGCTTCAATAAATATAGAACCATCACTCTCTAATGGGACAACCATTATACTGATTAAGTAAGCACTCTCTCATGTGTCTTGAATGTAATTGTAAAAGAGGGGAGGATTTCTAATGGTGGTCCCTTACAGGAGAGAATCTTTACAAACCTTATCTAGCAGACACTTTGAAGCAAAATCTACCAACCAGAGCCAGTCACAGTGTGGTTTGACCAGAATCTGTTAGGACAAAACAAACAGCAAATAATAAAAAGATCTTTGAAGCCATTAGTCAACCACAAAATAAAACTCAGAAGATCTTGAAAATTTTTGCAGTGACAGCAGCAGTTGACCTCCAGAGCAGTTTCCCAACAGTGCTGGCAAGTTTCCTGTAATAGAACAATCGATGATCAGATGAGATATTATATTTTAGTTCAGCTAGGGAATTAATTCAGTAATGTTCCATGACCTTCTTTTATCTAGGATGACAAACTAGATAGCTGTATTGGATTTGGCTGAGATGAAGTTAATTTTCCCCACAGCAACCCTCATGGTGCTGTGCTTTATATTGGTAGCTAGAAAAGTGTTGATAACATCCCTGTGTTTTGGCTACTGCTGAGCAGAGCTCGCACAGCATCAAGGCTGTCTCTCCAACATTGCTCCCTCACCAGCAGGCTGGAAGTGGGCAAGATCTTGGGAGTGGACGCAGCCAGGACAGCTGACCTCAACTGACCAAAGGGATATTCCATACCATATGACGTCTGCTCAGCAATAAAAGCTAAGGGAAAGGAGGAGAATGGGGGGGCATTAATTATTACGATGTTTGTCTTGCAGAGCAACCACTATGTGTACTGAAGGCCTACTTCCTGGGACGTGGCTGGACATCACCTGCTGATGGGAAGTACAGAATAAATCTTTTGTTTTCCTTTGCTTCCATGTTAGGCCTTTGCTTTTGCTTTATTAAACCGCTTTCATCTTGACCCACAGGTTTTTTCATCTTATTTTCTCCCCTCCCCTGCCCTGCTGAGGAGGGGAGTGATAGAGCGGCTTGGTGGGCACCTGGTGTTCAGCCAAGGTCAACCCACCACAATAGCATAGGTCCTTTCTAGTCTTAAAGTCTACAGATTAGAAATTATTTTACTCAGGGGCAGCTTTGAAAACTAAATAAACCATTCCGAGGTGAAAAAATCTGTAAGGTAGAAAATGATCAGAGAGCAGCTAGGAAAAATGGATGTGCTCATGATCACAATAGCTATAGCAAATATTAAATGTTGAAGTTTGGTGTGAAAGGAGCACCCAGTTGGTATTTACAGGTACAGGTGAGCAGACTGAGCAAAGGGACACCTGAGCTGAGCATTTCTTCATGTACCTGATGTTCAGTTCATCACTGACACACCACATTAGAGAAGCCTGTCACGCATGTGTTAACATAAGGAAAAAAACAATTGTTGCACCTCAAGGCTTTAGAACAGAATGTGAATATAACCTCACTTTCTTTGACTAATAGGTACACAGCATGTTAAAAATCTAGGGGGAAAAAAGTTTGGATGAGGTCTAATCATCAAAAATTAAAATGAGAATTTAAGCTGATGAGTATAAAAAAGATTAACAGAGTGGATGAAAAATGTGAGAATATCTACAAGAAATTAAAAACTGTTTTCTAAACTAAACTGCTAGGGTTTTGTTTACCTACTTTTTCCATCTTTCCTGAAAAGGAAAACAGATGCAGGGAAAAGTAAGATATCGTCAGTTTTCTTAAGGTTACTTTGTCATTTTCAGCTTTTTTGACAAAATAAGGTAATAATTAAATATTTTGAACATTTCTGGTAAACTTAAAAAAAATTAATTAGATAGCACAAGGTTAAATGGGATAAGATAGAAAAGACTCTAGAATTCTGGCTATAGAATCAGCTATGTAACCCTATATTTATTAATCAAAGTAAACTGATGAGTAAGGCAAATCCATTATAATAATTAGTTAATTATTCTATAGTTTTTTCAAATGTAAATATTAATCACATTAAGGATTAATTCAGTAAGCCTTAAGGTTAATTACTTACATTTACAGGCCTCATTAATAATTTTATAAGTGGGACATTAAAATATGTTACTAAAGAAGAGAGGAAAATTTAATTGCAAAGAAATATACCATTTACTACTTCTATGAAATATTTTTTTACCAAATTAATTACTTACATTATATAAAGTGTCTGCTAAATGAATTTTATGCATACAGGCCTCAGACACATCTACTGTAACACCCTAATTCTTTCCTATGACAGGTTTTCAGAGGGTGGGTAAGAAGCAAAAAAAAAAAAAGTGAAATCCAAAGCTATTAGTATTTTCTTTTTCTATGCTGAACAAGTTTGTTAGACTTGAACAAAAAAGGGAGAAGTCATGGGTTCC